ATTTGAATTCAGTGAGAATCCTGGAGCAGCTGAGATCTTGGGCTGGTCACTGAGCCTCGGTTTCCTTAACTTGCCTTTTCATTGCCGTATGATACCAGCTTCACAGATCATGGTGTTTGACAGCCATTGATTGCTTTACATCTGAGTGATGGAAACATTTTAGCAGGTAAAACCAACCAGCTGGCTTATACATCCACCAGCCCAGCCTGTAAGAGCAAACCTGGGACATAGGCTTTTGGCTGTTATGAGTAATGCTGCTGTGAACACTCCTGCACAAATTTTTGTGTGGACATATTTTTTTTTTTTTTTTTTTGGTATATGCCTGGGAGTGGGATTGCTGGGTCATATTGTGACTCCATGTTTAACTTTTTGAGAAGTTGCCCAATTGTTTTTCTACAGTGGCTGCACCATTTTCCATTCATACCGGCAGTGCATGAATTTTCCAATTTCTCCACATCCTGGCCGACACTTGTTATTGTCTGTCTTTTATTAAAGTCATCCTAGGGGCTCCTGGCTGGCTTAATCAGTAGAACATCCGACTCTTGATCTCAGGGTTGTGAATTCAAGCCCCATGTTGGGCATAGAACCTCTTAAGAAAAATAAAATAAAAACAGAAGGAATCCTAGTGAGTGTGAAGTGGTATCTCATTGTGTGGTTTTTTGTTTTGTTTTGTTTTTAGTGACTTCTTTCTTTCTCTCTCTCTCTTTCTTTCTTTCTTTTTCTCCTCCTCTTCCTTCTTCTCCCTGATATGGGAGTCGAACTCACAACCCTGGAGGTTCAGAGTCATGTGATCCACTAAATGAGCCAGCGAGGCACCCTCATTGTGGTTTTGATTTGCATTAAATATGTGTCTGTTTCATTTGCTTAAGTTCATTGAGATAAAATCTATTTTGGTAAGATTATATACTCTGGTTTCTCTTCAGATCGTATAAATCTTTTACCTTTTACTATTTCGGTAAGATTATTACCAGGTTATTGTAGAAAACTTAGAAAATATGTAAAAGTTGAAAGAGGAAAATTGAGGGGCACCTGGGTGTCTCAGTTGGGTAAGCATCTGACTCTAGTTTCAGCTCAGGTCGTGATCGCACAGTTCATGGCTTCAAGACTGCATTGGGCTTTGTGCTGATGGCTTGAAGCCTGCTTGGGATTCTGTCTTCCTTTCTCTCTGCCCCTTCCCTGGATGCACTCTCGTGAGTTCTCTCTCTCTCTCTCTCTCTCAAAGATAAATAAATAAATAAACATTTAAAAAAAAAAAGAGGAGGGGTGCCTGGTGGCTCAGTTGGTTAAGCATCCAACTTTGGCTCAGGTCATGATCTCATGGTTCCTGAGTTAGAGCCCTGTATTGGGCTGTGTGCTGACAGCTCAGAGCCTGGAGCCTGCTTCCGATTGTGTCTCCCTTTCTCTCTGCCCCTCCCCTGCTTGCACTCTATCTCTCTCTCTGTCAAAAATAAATAACATTAAACAATTTTAAAAAGTAAAAATAAAAAAGAAGAGGAAAATTGAAAATGTGTGAAAGTTTGGTATATTATGTTCTTGCTTTTCTCCCCTCTGGGTGTGTTGTAACATAATTGGTATCAAACTGTATATACACTTTTACATCATATATTTTTCATTTCATATTATATTATGATTAATTTTTGTCACAAAACTCTAGATCATTGTATGAAGGTGTATGATGACCTATTTTTGGATGGTTTCTGGTTGTGATGAATTTTTTTTACATAAATCTTTTACTTGTTTTTACAAGCAGAAAATGGTGATTATTCATAACATATGAATTCTTAAAATCAGTAAGAAAACTACAGTTACTTTTGGTTCTTTTTTTTTTTAATGTTTTATTTATTTCTAGGAGAGAGAGAGAGAGAGAGAGACAGCATGAGCAGGGGAGGGTCAGAGAGAGAGGGAGTCACAGACTGAAACAGGCTCCAGGCTCTGAGCTGTCAGCACAGAGCCCGACGTGGGGCTCGAACCCACGAACCGCGAGATCATGACCTAAGCGAAAGTCGGTCGCTTAACCGACTAAGCCACCCAGGCGCCCCACTTTTGGTTATTTCTTTAGCATATGTAGAGTTAAATTCCTGGGTCAGTGCTTATTTATTTTGAAGGTCCTTAGGTTACATTGTTACTTTATTTTATAGGATTCTGTCATTAGCAGTGTATAAGAATGTGTGTTGTACTCCACTGTTGCACAATAGAAATCTTTAAGTTGATAAATGGAAAATGGCATTTTATTGTTTTAATTTACATGTCTTCGATTACTAGTGAGGTAGGACAGCTTCATCTGTTCTTTAAAGTGGAAGTATACCTATGATAGCAACATTTTGATAACTTAGGGAATTACCCTGTTTTGATTTCACAGACTTTTCCTTGTTTGTTTTCTGTTTATTCACACGCTCTTCCATTTAGCTTCAGCTTCTACAGAATACCAAGGCCTGAACCAACTAGAATTGGTTGGGCCAGACCAGGCTGAGACTGGGAAAGTTCTAAATTGTACTTTGCTAGGGAAAGCCTAGAAGGCAGAATGAGCCCCTTTCTTGATTTTTATGCAATCTGATTTTCATTGTGAGCACTGAAAGAATGGGCAGAGGCCAGGATTGGTTTGGAGACCATACCTGTGTGCCACTCAGGAGTCAAGCTGGCTTGACTCTCAGGCCTGCACAGTGTTGGGTGTGGAGAAGTGTATGTGACAGGCCCATGACTTGAAAACATCTTCAGCCAGCTAAGATTTATTGGGTTGGTGGCGTTCTGGGTTTATGGCTATATGAACGCATAATTTGTAGTGAAACTTCCTGGATCTGCTTTTGAATGATATTTCTTGGTCACTATTAGTTGATGTTTCAGTTATCAAAATGCAGTAACAATAATACTTCAAAACAAGAGTATTTCCAGAATATTTTGGATACCTTTGTAAAATTGGCTTTTTGGTCAAATATATTTTAGATCTGTTTATCATCAGATACTAATACGTTCAGAATCAAGAGGATGCATGTTTTGTCTCTGTGTATAATTACATACACACACATGCGTATAGAAGAAATATATGCATGCTTAGCGTTGGGATAATTCAAGGCTCGACTTCATTTATTTATTTATTTTTTAAAATTTTTTTTAATGTTTTTTTTTTTTTATTTATTTCTAGGAGAGAGAGAGAGAGAGAGACAGCGTGAGCAGGGGAGGGTCAGAGAGAGAGGGAGTCACAGACTGAAACAGGCTTCAGGCTCTGAGCTGGCAGTCAGCACAGAGCCCGACGCGGGGCTCGAACCCACGAACTGTGAGATCATGACCTAAGCAAAAGTCGGACGCTTAACCGACTAAGCCACCCAGGCGCCCCTATTTATTTATTTTTGAGAGAGGGAGAGATCACAAGTGGGAGAAGGGAAGAGAAAGAGAGAGAGACACAGAGTCGGAAAGAGGCTCTGTCAGCACAGAGCCCGACGCAGGGCTCAAACTCACGAGCTGTGAGATCATAACCTGAGCTGAAGTCAGATGCTTAACCTACTGAGCCACTCAGGTGCTCCAAGGCTTGTCTTTATACATTCCCTACTTCTTGTCTTTCTCACCCTATTCCATCTCCAAGGGTGTATAGGACACTTCACTTCCACCCCAAAGAGCAGTGCCACTCAGCCAAGAATTTTGGCCTCTGTGCTTGTGAGCAGTGCCATGTGCTGAGTTTCTAAGCCAAGCCCATGATCCTCCTCTGCTTCTGTCCACTTGATCAGGAAGCTGACTCTGGGGTCTTTTTTTTCTCTTCCTAGGGCTAAGTTTTCACCTCCCACCTGGCAAGCCAGGGTGGCTTAAAAAGACCCTTGGTGGGTGTCTGTAGATGTAAACTTTTTTTCTGTCTCTTTCTGCCAATTTTCTGTGATGCTAGCTGCTGTCACTTTTTTCCTTCAGTGATAAGATCCAAAGCTTGGTATGGGTTTGGATTTAGGATTACTCTAGGTAGAAAGCTTTGCTTTGAGGCTCCTTAGGTCTGTCTAGCAGAGAAAAAAGAAATTCTCAGCATAGTGCAGTCTGTTCACTGGGATTTGGAGCCAAAGCCTGAACTACAAATAAGGTGCATTTGTGTTTTGAGAGCCCCATCTTCTCTGCAGAAGATTTGGGTTCCCTGGCCAAAATCCCAGGGTGTCCTTTCATAAGATCCCCTTAAGTTTCACCTGGTCATTGTTACCAGCAAAGTCATTTTAGAAAACATCAGGAATGTGGAAACATATAAAGAAGAAAGGAATAAATCACCTAAAAGTTGCCATTCTGAGGTAATGACTGTTAATGTTTTGGTGTGTATTTTGAAGGATAAAAGACAAAAAGATATTGAAAATGTATCTTAAAAGTTTGAAATCATATTCAAATGTAGTTTTGCATCTTCTTTCCACTTAATTGTATTCTATCTTAATTCCCCCATGATTCCTGAAACTTAAAACATTGGTAAAGTTCCATGGTAGAAACACATAATAATTTCTTAGGTATTTATTATTTTTTTTAGTTAAAATTTTTTTAACATTTATTCATTTTTGAGAGACAAAGAGCGTGAGTGGGGGAGGGGCAGAGAGAGAGGGAGACCCAGAATCTGAAACAGGCTCCAGGCTCTGAGCTGTCAGCACAGAGCCTGATGTGGGGCTTGAACCCATGAGCTGTGAAATCATGACCTGAGCCAACGGTGGACACTTAACCAATTGAGCCACCCAGGCGCCCCTCTAGTTTCTTAGATATTTAGATGAATTTTCTAGTTTTTCTGTTTTTCTGTTTAAAAAATTAAGATTTTTAAATTTATTATAAATCAATAAATTACTTATTAAATAATTCATGAATCAAGCAATATCCCATCTAGCAAGTAGAGAGGGTTCCAAAGATCTCTGGTGTGACTTTTAACTGTTGAAGACTATTACACTCCCTTATGATGGCCTTTTGGGTAAATCAGGACTAGATGTTTGCTTTTTTTGACTGTGTTGTTAGCCAAAATTTCCCCTTTCCTCTAAAAAACAAAAACAATAACCACACAAACTTTTTAAAAGGCATTATTTTTTGGTGGCTGGCAAGAATCGTAGAATATGTTGGATAATGATAAAGAGACCAAAAGAAGATACTCTTGAGTTAATTAAGTTACTTGATTAGATACATAAACACATTTTGGCAACTGGAGTGGACTCTAACCTTGGAGTTGGCTAGGCTTGGCCACTTGGGGTGTGCTGGAAAGGATGGACAGGATCGGAATTCATCACCACCAGCAAAACAGCTTGAGCATTTTAAGGTGAAGAGCACTCCCCTTTACATTTTTTGATGAGAGACAGATGTAGTTCTCCAGAGCCAGATTGTTGTCTCTCTCTTGTTTGCTTTCTCCAGCATCCTGGGACACTCAGGCAGGACATAGTTCTTCACATGCTGCAACTTGATCTTCTGACATAGTCCACATTCCTCCTTGTTCCTCAAATAATAACATCTCAATTAGATAACCTCCATTTTTATTTCTGGGCCATATTTCAGTCCTAGGAAAAATGCAAATAACAACAAAACAAACACTGATTAACAAGGATTTATTTAAAAGCAAATAAGCTCCTGGAAGCCTCAGGCTTGGTACAGCTATAGTTCAGTCTCTAACACATGTTTTATGTCTGCGCTGAGAAATGACATACCGAATGATCAAGCCCTGTATGATCCTGAGTCATATAAGGAAAAAAATCATTTATTGAAGAATTATGGACAAAAATGTTTTAAGGCTGTTTTTAATCAGAGGAGGTTGAAGAGAGGTGTAACTTTGGACAAGTTATTTCACTTTTTGAGCCCAAGTTTTTTTGTCTATAAATAATGGTAATAATACTTAACAAAGTAGGTGATTGTGATGGGCTAATTTTATAGGAAATGACACCTATAAACAATTAGTATGATGTCTGATACTTTATAAGCACTCAGTTATTAACTGCCATTACTATTACTGTTTGTTTCAAGTATTGAATTTCCTAGATGTTGGGGAAATAATACTGAATAAGTCCTTCTTGATCACTGTCTAGTGGTGGAGGCAGATAGGAGATTATATGTTGTGGTGATACGAATATGCTATAGTGTAATAAGTGATATAACATAGTTGTGACAAAAGAGCCTCCTATAAATTTTAGTGCCTTTGGAAGTGAAGCTTCAGGGCTTTTCCACTGTGACCATGTTCTTTCTGTCTTGGTTTCACATTAGAAATAGAATTTTAAAAAATCACACTTCAAATAAATTAGCAATGATCAGGTCCCACTGTAGATAATTAAATCAACATCTCTGGGCTGTTCCCAGTTTGTTTTTTTGTTTTTGTTTTGTTTTTTTAATTTCCCTCGATGATTCTGATGTGCAGCCAAGGGTCAAGAGCCAGTGCTTTTCTTTTTTTTTTTTAATGTTTTTTATTTATTTCTAGGAGAGAGAGAGAGAGAGAGAAAGACAGCGTGAGCAGGGGAGGGTCAGAGAGAGAGGGAGACACAGACTCTGAAATTGGCTCCAGGCTCCGAGCTGGCAGTCAGCACAGAGCCCGATGCGGGGCTCGAACCCACGAACCGCGAGATCATGACCTAAGCGAAAGTCGGACGCTTAACCCGCTACGCCACCCAGGCGCCCCTTATGAAAACGCTTTTATAGAGTTTGTAAAATAAATCTCAGTAAAGCTTCACAGTAATTCTTTTAGAAAAGTATTCTCATCCCCATTTTGCAGAAAAGTTAGCTGAGGCTCAGAGAAACCATACGTGAAGTAAAAGGTGGTGGAAAGAGGACTTGAACCCAGGTGTTCAGACTCTAGTCTTTCTGTTTCTGTTGCATTTCTAGTGGAAGCTTCTAGCCACTGTTTATACACATGGGGGGCTTCTCTTGCTGCTGTATTTTCTACCTTAGTGTAGCTTTGGATCTCTTGTGAAATCTTTGCTCATTGTTCATCTGGCCGAACCACTTGGGGTATGTTCCTTTTGTTTTGCTCCCTGTCATCCCATGTCTAATGCTCTTGACCCTCCTTCCACCTTAGCTATAATTTTTTGAAATACATTTCTTAACATACTTATGATAGCTTTTCTTTTAGAGAAGATATATACTCTTTCCTAGTCTCTCTTTCAGCAGTGAGTCCCTGCCACCAAATCTTTTTGGTACGTGTGAGTTTGCTTAATATCCAAATCTAATCTTTTAACAGTGCAGGTATCCCTTGCTATCCAAATCCATTTATTCCTGAGTCTGAATCATGAGCACTAGTATAGAAGGGACAGCTATACTTACCCTTGTTAGGACCTTCTGTCTGGAAGGATGAAGGAGCTCTGTACCAGAAATAACTCCCTTACCCCTGTGGTCGAACATGGACACACGAGCAGGCTGTGTGTGGCATTCTCTCCTATTCTCATTGAGTTGTCTTTCCATCTTGGACGGAAGCTCCTTTCCTGTTGTTTCCTTTTTTTTTTTTTTTTTTGTCTCGTCTTTCACCCATCTCCCCTCTCCATCCTACCAAGGAAGGAGAGTGAGGAGATGCATTTGAGGAATGGGAGTGGAGGGCATTCCAGTCATAGGGAAAGTATGTGTGAAACTCTGGAAGCTTTACAGTCTCTTTCAAGGGCCTGTTGTTGCCACAGTTGGCTAATACTGGCTAATACTGAAGGCCTCTCAGCTTAACTTGGGTTATGTGAAAAGACTTCCCCACCAGAGGTGAAGATAAGGAGCAAAGAATATATGAAGGACACAGAGAACTCTCTTTGAGCATGGCTGCATTCTGTACCCTGGTTTGGAACCCTGTTGTATGGACACTCTATCGCTGTTTGTCATGGGCCATATCTGGTTTTACGGTATTTATATAGCCATTTACACCAATTTCATCCCTTATGTTTTAGTTAATTATTCTTCAGCAACTTAGTAGTTGTCCATAAAGTCAGATTCAAAAGTGAAACTTTTCTCAAGACAAGTGTTATCATTCTATTCTTTCTAGTAGAGTTCAGAAACCAAATTTCACTTTTGGATGCCATCTATGAACTCATCTGCTCACATCTCATCTTTCTCTTAACATGTAAGTACTGTTCTCCTCCCCAGTTCTTCTGCTTCTTAACTCAGAATCACTGGAAATAAATTCTACATTTTTTCTGGATAGAATCATGGAAAGTGGGTGGTAATTGGGTTTGGTGAGTTTTGGCAAGCTACCTTTTCCCCAAAAGAGTAACCCAGCTCCTGATCAAATAAATACCGCCATGTCCCTTCCCCATGCTTTGTTGTCTTCTTCCTGGGATCAGATAAAGTGTGTCTTAAACCAGTTTGTCTTTTCCCTGGAGCCCAGGACTCTGCTGCTTCTGTACTAGGGCTCTGTGGAAAGAAAGAAAGAACCTCATGTCTGATTTTACCATGCCAGGTGGAGAAACTTCATTCTTTTTCTTTTCCCTGGCCATGCTTCCAACTCCTCTTTTTTTTTCTTCTTTATAAGGGGAAAAAAGTTCTTTTAGCTCTAGGCCTTAAGGTTTTATTTGAAGGGTAAAGAGAAATTTTATGAAACTTGAAAGCTCTGCAAATTTATTTGACCTTTATTGTTTAGTAACTGGAAGTTATGCATCATCCTAACTGAAGGGAAAATTGGAGTGATGGTCAAATTTATTCATAGTAGGATGTAAAGGATTTAAACCAATAGGTTAGTTAATGTTTTTCCAAACAAACCAATAACCCCATTCTATAAAATAGACATAAATATACAAGGTTAATTTTAAGAAGGCTCATATTTGGGGCACCTGGCTGGCACAGTCCATGGAACATGTGACTCCTGATATGAGGAGCCCCACGTTGGGTGTAGAGCTTACTTAAAAATAAAAATTTTTTAAAAAGGCTCATATTCTATTTTTCATAGAAGTGACAAATTTAAGTTCTCAGATTGTAGCAATGCTCCTATTTATAGATGACATATTCCAGTGATAATTAACTGCTTTTTAAAACTGTAGAAACACAGAAGGATTGATTTTAGAACATAAATTAAAAAATAAAAATAAACTAAGGTTTAATTATACAAAAAAATTATAAAATTATTTTTTAAAAAAGGCAAACCAAAGCAATGTCAGATGAGACCCAAAGCAAAAATCAAATCACTTGGTGGGACTCTAGGGGAAGAGCTTATGTGAAGATTTCGGACACCAGGGGTGTTGTTGATGACCAAGTCACCTGCTTTGCTTTAGAAACCAGGAATCACTGGTTCTCTGACAAGCAGTGGTTTGCAGTGGAGCCAGAGATCTGGCTCAGGTTTCGTGAATCCCACTATTTTCCTTTTTTTTTTTTTTTTAATCTTTTTAATGTTTATTTGTTTTTGAGAGAGAGACAGAGCATGAACAGGGGAGGGGTAGAGAGAGAGGGAGACACAGAATGGGAAGCAGGCTCCAAGCTCTGAGCTGTCAGCACAGAACCAGACACAGGGCTCGAACTCACGGACTTCATGATCGTGACCTGAGCCAAAGTTGGATGCTTAACCGACTGAGCCACCCAGCACACCCCACACACACTATTTTTCCTTCTTGACTCCCACTATTATTTTTTTTCTGTAACACATACTAAAGGATGGTTATTAGATTATTCTGTTTTGTCTTGGGAGGAAGTAAAATAAATAGTTCCTTGGGTCTCAGGTCTCTGCAGTGGGAAGAAGTCACCATTGTGAAGGAGGAAAAGGGGCAGAAAAAGGAGCCTTTGTGTGTGTTCAGCAAGGTTCCCTGTAAAATGTCCTTTAGTCTGTGATATAGGGATTTAGGGTGGGGTTGACCCTGAGCAGCGTTTGCCCTAGTTACAGTGGCTGTGGGCGTCCTATTGCCTGTGGAGTCGTGCCCGACAAAATGTTGTCGAGCAGCTTCTGCACGGGACCTTGTACATCACAATTGAGAGATAAGTGTCAGGTGAGCTGAAGTGATAACAGCAGGAATCATAAATCACACTTAATGGCATCCCTATAAAGAACTGTATATCGTCCCCGCTCTGAAATTTGACGGAGAGTGTGCGTGAGGTATCTGCTGTGACACAAAATGAAGAGCTTGATTTCAGCTCATTTGCTTCTTAGGATCATGCATATGCTGAGAACTCCCTCACCCCTACTGGAGGTAAATACGGGAGAGGGTTTCCCAGGGCAGACACTTGCTATGCTTCAGGCAGTTTGTGTGCCCAGCAATATGCCGTGACATTTATCATAACCTTGCCACCAAGAGACTTCCTCTTGGCAGCTGTCCTCTGCTTCTTCCACAAAACGAACAACACAGAACAAATAGAAACAAAGGTTCCCTGCTTTCCTGTCTATAACTTCTGAATCCGTAACCATCCTTACCTCCTCCTCCTCTTCTGTGTCTCCCACATCCTGTTAAAGGCACTTCTCTACTTTTCTGAATCCCACCTTCGCCCCTCTTGAGAGAATCCTCTGTCTGCAGTGTCTCCCTTCCGTTAGCTCCTCCCTTCAGGGTGTAAGTCCCTTTGCCCTGTAGCCCTCCCCCGCCAGGCAGAGCATCTTTCCTTGTCCCTTTTATAACTGAGCCTCTTGCGTATGAAGACTGGTCTTCTTGCAGTGTTCAGTTTCCTTACCTTTTCTTCACTCTCCCTCTCTCTGATTGGTATTCTGTGTCACTGAAATTGCACAGACAGCCTCTTAACCTGCCCTTCCCAGGGACTCTCAGTGCTCTGTTTGACTTGCCTGTGGTAGTTTACATCGCTGCCTCTGGCTCTCCTGGCCACTCTTATCTTCCTTGGCTTCTTTATTGTGACTTGTCCCTTCTGTTGCCAGCATTCTTCAAGATTCTAGTTGCCTCCTTTTCTGCTTATTTTCCCTCCATGTTCATATGGAGAATTTCATAAATTCTCCAATTTAACTTTGCAGCTCAGATCTCTTTCCTGGGTGTACTAGACTTCACCTCACTGGCAATCCTTTAGGTACTTCAAACTCACCATGTTTGAAGCTCTGCTGTCCCCCAATCTCTTCCTCTGTTCCTGATTTCATTGTCTGTCTAAACTAGAAACTAAAAACCTTGGTGTTATCCGTCGTTTCTTCTTTGTATCCCTTAATATAGTATCACCAGTCACTTGTTTCTCTTCCATCCTGAGTTGGCCACACAATCAGCAGTGCTGCTAGTGCTGATGTTTTTTTATTGGCCTATTTTTCTTTACTGGGAAATCCTCTCTTTCTTCTGTAGCTCACATTTTCCCACTGTACACCAGTGGCTTTGGCTTTGGTTCTCCTAAATGAGTGCATAAGGCTATAAGCCAAAGTATTTCAAGATGAAGTAAGGTGTCAAGTATAAAATGCTATGGGAAGATTGAGGAAGGTGAAGACCAGGAAAGGAAATACTGGATTTGAGGAGTCAGGTGACATCTGACCATGGGGGAAGCCTTGTAGCTTGTAAAGGCTCCCCACACCCATTTCTCCTTTTGTGTACTTTTTTCTGAGAGCATTCAAGTGGTATCTTTCTAGTCACCGAAAGATTGTTTATTGTCAGGGTTCTTCCTCTCCTTTGCTCCCTTTGTCCAGTTAGTAAATTTTACCAATTGACATCTCAGTGTTTATTACCTTTCATTCATGTCCCTTTGATTTTTTCCTCCTTTTATTTGAATCTTCGTAAATCATCATTTTGTTATTCACATCTAATTGATCATCAGGGTGTGATGGTTCTTCTTCATAATTGAATTGTCTGTCCCTTCTTTTCTTTTTTAAAATAGTTTATTTTTGAATAATCTCCACACCCAATGTGGGACTCGAACCCACAACTCCAAGATCAAGGGTTGCATGCTCCAACTGAGCCAGCCAGGCAACCTCCTATAATCATGTTAATTGGAAAATGCAGTGGACAGTTTTAGTTCTTTGTCCTACTCTATCATTCTTAACACTGTTGATCACTCTCTTCTTCATAACCCTCTTGTCTCTTGAGACTCTGTTCTTATTTTCTTGCCATATGTTTGGTGGCCTTCTCTTGGTCTCCTTTGAGGACCCCCAAAAACAACGTTCTCTGGATTCTGTCTTCTGGATTGATCTCTCATGGCTCTCCGGGCAATCTCAGCTGTACTCATGATTTCAACTACCACCTATCTGTTGACTTCCAAATCTTTGTCCTTAGCACACACTCTTCCACCGAGCCCCAGCTCTGTATTTTGCAGTTGTGTACCAGGTACTTCTACTTGAATTTCCACAGAACTTTAAATGTAGTCCTCTTCCCCAGACTTCTCTCTTTTTTCATTTTATTGATGAAGGGGTACTTTCAGTTGCCCATCATCCAGAGAAGACACCTTGGTAACATTAATGCCTCCTTTCTCACTCTTCCCATTCATTAGGTCACAAATCCTATTGAGTCTACTGCCTAAATTCCTAAATCTCTCCAGTCTGCCTTCATGTTTCTGTTCTCACTGCCTTAGCTAGGACCCTC